TGTGTGTGTGTGTGTGTGTGTGTGTGTGAGCGAGCCTCTCCATAAGTTCTGTCTTGTTTAAGTGAGCATTTTAAAACTGGACACTATTGTTTTAGGCAGGACGGTTGGTGCAGTAGAGATGCCTGGACTTGCTCTCAGTAGAGTTGCACCTGCACCCATTTCCTGACTTAAATGTGATGCATTGCTGATGGATAGCAGTGCAGAGTGCTCCCTGTCCCAGGATGCATCACTCCTCACAAGGTACACAGTGTAATGGTTGGCCGCCACATTCATGGCCTTAGCGAATCAATCTCCATCATTTCATGCTGTAAAGCGTGTGGGTGTGTATTCGTGTGTGAGTTCGGCCAGCGCTGTGCGTGTCAGCAAATCCCCTTTTGCAGAAGTAGTGCTGCAGGGGAGATTATTTCTCTTTTCGCTTATATTGCATCATTCTAATTGGGTAGAAATGCTTATCCCCTCCATCCCCAGTGTGTCTCCTAACTGTAACATGTAGTGCCCTGGCTGTTATTAATGTCCTAACAGTCTCCCTAAGTGTGTGCCAAGCGTCTTATCCTCCGAGAGCACAGCAAAGACCGGGATTACCTTCGGCCCATCGGCAAACTCCTAACGCAAATGTTACCTAATCCTCCCGGTAAAAAATAATTAGACTAGTAAACAAACTGTAGCGCTGTATCTGGGCTTTACTCACTGGGAAGGCTCATCCTGCCTCTGCACGCTCTCTGCTGAGATTGAGGTGCTGACGGAGTGGATTTTACAGTTCTCAGTTCAGTTGTGCGCCAATGAGAATTTAATTGAGTGAATTTGAATTCCTGAATTTGAATGTAAGGAAGTAGAATTCAAATGAACTGATATTCAGAGATATTCAAATATGTAACTACTGTAACTAAAAAGCAAAGTTTATGGAGACAAACTTTGAATGTTTGCTTGAGAAAGTTTCAAAGTTTATAGGCTGGATGGATGGATGGAAAGACAAATTGATAGATGGATGGTTATATACTGTAGGTGGATGGACGGATAGATGTATGGACAGATGGATGGATAAACTGATGGATAGATACTGTAGGTGGATGGAAAGACAGGATAGACAAATGGATGGGTATGTGCTTTGGATTAGGGGTGTAACGGTACACGTATTCGTACCGAACCGTTTCGGTACGGGTCTTTCATCAGTGTCCACAGCTCGTTAGTTCACTAGATAAATGAAGTCTAGAGAGGAGCATTTTGCAAAATATTACACCATATACTCATTATATTTTACTAAACCTGTTAGTCTTAATTACTTAATGTATTTTTTTTATGTTTTTTAAAGAAGTCTTTTCTCACCAAAGATTTTTTTTTAATATTTAAAACAACTGCTTTCTATTTAAATATATATTAAAATGCCATTTATTTCTGTGATCAAAGCTAAATTTTAAGCATCATTACTCCAGTCTTCAGCGTCACATGATCCTTCAGAAATCATTCTAATATGCTGATTTGGTTCTCAAGAGGATGGATGTATGAAGAGATAAATGGATTGACAAACAAATGGATATATGTTGTAGATGAATGGATGGATGGAAAGACAAATGGATAGACACTGATAGATATATTCTGTGGATGGATGCATGGAAAGACAAATGGATAGACATGGATACATACTGTAGGTAAATGGATGGTTGGATGGATGGATGGATGGATGGATGGATGGATGGACAGATTGGTGGATGGATATAAAGACAAACAGATAGACTGATAGAGAGACAATTGGATTGACAAATGAATGGATATATACTGTAGATGGATGGATGGATGCATGGAAAGACAAATGGATGGATGGATACATACTGTGGGTAAATGGATGGTTGGATGGATGGACAGATTGGTGGATGGATGGAAAGACAAACAGATAGACAGACTGATGGATAGATACTACTGATGGATAGATACTGTAGATAGGTAGATGGATGGAAAGAAAGGCAAATGGATAGATATGATGGATGGAGGGAGGGATGGGTGGATTGATTGATTGAAACACAAATGGATAGACACTGATGGATAGATACTGTGGATGGATACATGGAAAGACAAATGGATAGACAGACGGATGATATATACTATGGATGGATAGACTGATGGATAGATACAATGGATGGATAGATAGAAAGACAGAAAGACATACTGATGGATAGATACTGTTGATGGACAGAAACTGTAGATAGGTAGATGGATGGATGGATGGATGGATGGAAAGAAAGGCAAATGGGTAGATATGATGGATGGAGGGACAGACAAATGTATAAGCAGACAGATAGATTTCCCAAAATGTGTCCAAACATAAAAACCTGTGTTGAATTTCTTTGAATTACAATTCAGTAAATTCCTCTTCCTGTCATTCCAGTTCAACTTCCTGTGGCAAATGCAGTTCAAATTCACACTCATAAATTGAAAGGGAGCCACATGTGCACCATTGAGGTTTGGGCCAGTGTTTGTTCCCTTCTGAACTCACATCTAAACTATTACATTTTCAGCAAGCCAAGATTAGCCATTGTGAATGAAAGACATTAAAGCAGTATTTATTAATTCAATTAGTTTTCTGTTTGTTTGTGTGCTGTGGTTTTCTTTGGCATTTTAATTACTGCTAATAGTTGTTTGGGGTTTTTTTTGCCCCTGGGCTTTGTTTGGACTGGGTGGTAAATTTCAAATATGTTTTGCCTCTCTTGACAGCAAAGACACGGATAAACAACGCCCGCTTATTGATGCCAAGTAAAAGTGGAGGAAGTAGTTCACTAGTTGACTGCTTCCTGTCCAGCTGAGCGTGGACTGCAAAAGAGCGTAGTGGTCAGTTTCAGGGGGCCGGGCATCAACAGCCCCTTTGTGACCAAGGATTTGCGTCATAAATATAATTTTATGACATGATTGGGTCAGGATTAAAGGGCGGTTTTTATTCCATTATATCAAATAGCCTTTGACGCTGGCCTTTGTGTGGCCTCGGGGCTTCCGCTGAGGGCTTTTGTTTCTTCTGTTGTGGGGTCAGAGGAGCATCCTTGAACTTGTGGCATTTGGGGCATCGTGACGTCCCATGAGTGGAGCTGACACTTGAAGCATGAATGTGTTCAGTGTTCCCCCTAAAACCTCTCCCATTCACTAATGCACAAATGAAGAGGTCCCACGCCAGCGGTCTGGATGTAATATGGTGTCAAGAGGCCGTTTATTGCAGACCACATGTCTGCTTTGTTCACCTTGGCCTAGTTTTAGCCTGGAAAAAGAGCTAGTGTGCTACATAAATTATATAAATAATGTAAAGCAATCCTAATAATAGTAAAAATCCTAGTTTATAGTGATGTGTTGGTGATATTCAAGGATTCTTGGGCTAAGCTTGAATAAGCTAAATTGTTTCTAAAAAGAAAGAGCAAAATAAAATACTATTTAATGACATCCTACTTATTCTTGTGTTGAATTTCTTTGCTCATTTTACCTACAAAACCTAGCTTTAAGGTTGTAAAGCCACTTATCAACACAAGCATCCTCGCTGTGGAATGTAATTGCTCAGTTCCTTGGTTTTCTTCAGATTTATCTGTTATGAGAGAGAGAGATGATTGAAGAAGATGCCGCATGCCAGGCCGCTTCCTGATTCCAGTGACGCTGTTCGCTAGTAGTGAATCTAACCAAGATCTGTGGCAGGAACATGAGGTTTCTTTCCTCTGTTTAATTTGATGGCCGCTGTGATGCTGACGCAGTACTGTACTCTGTGTGCATGTTTTGAGGAATGTTCAAGATGGTTTTGATAGGATAGTTGCTTTAACTATCACTGTTTTTTGGAACAGGCATCATGTGAACTTGCTCTAGCACATTCTCATCTTCTAACAAGTGCAACACTGTATTGTAAAATCCTTGATTCATGTTATCTTTAAATATTTGAATTATTTGCATTTATTTTTTCATATTTATGTCAAACTAAAAATTAAAATCAATTATAATTATTTACATTTATTAATTTACCATGCACTTTTATCCAAAATTACTTGAAAATAAGCAATTCATAGTATATGAATAAATTGTGTGTCTGTGTGACACACACACACACACACACAATTTATTCATATACTATGAATGACATTTATGACATTTATGACATTTAAACGAACATTTATTGAATTAATCAAAAAAACCTAAAAAACTTTCACCTTTAATTGATCTTTATTAATTAATGACTATTGTATTTATACATTTAATAAATAATTATTTTATAATTATAATGATATTTTATTTATATTTTAGTTATTAATGATAATTGTGCATATATTTTTATTAAATTTATTTTATAATTAAATTTTTATATATTTGCATGCTATAAAATAAACCACAATAATGTGTGTGTGCGTACGTGCGTGTGCATTTGTATAGATAAGTAGATAGTATATAATTTTAGTATATAATATTTATAATATTTTTAATTTAAATGTTAATTTGTTTTGGGAATGATACCTGTGGTGGTAAATGTATAATGTAAATAATGTAAATGTATAGTCTTCGTACACATCAGTATTTTCTTGCATAATTGACTTTACCTCTGCGACTCGTTTTTGCAGCATAAAAGTTAGTTTGTGTAAATGACATTTGAATGTTGACTTAGAAAAGCTTTTCCTAAAAGTTTAAAACAGCTTTAAAAGCTTTAAGTGCTCTGAGTACTGTACAGTTTGTTGAGTCTCTGTTCTCTCTTTCCGCAGTTGATGTGAGTGCGGTGCTGCCACTGCAAGTGCCGCCTTCTGCCATCCCCATGGACCTGCGTGTGGATCACCAGTTCGCCCTGGCGCCGACGGACTCGGCTCAGCGCGAGCAGCAGCTGCAGCAGGAGCTTCTGGCCCTCAAGCAGAAACAGCAGATACAGAGGCAGATCCTGATCGCAGAGTTTCAGCGGCAGCACGAGCAGCTCTCGCGCCAGCATGAAGCGCAGCTGCAGGAGCATGTCAAGGTGAGAGCCGCTGACTCGGTACAGAGCACTGTGGGGAGGAGCTGTTTTTGTCGGCCTACCTGGAAGTTTGCATCACCTTATAGATCCTCCACAAAAAAAACAATAGATTTTTCCTTTGGCTTTGGATTGTTGTAGAAAATAAGCTTTTGTGATTGACAAAAGTTTATGATTCTTAAATTAATTTTGTTCATCATGATAAACTTCACAAATAAAAAAGCAAGTGTTATGAATTTTGAAGCCTAAATACAATCGGCAGAAGTAAAATGCTAGAACTACACCATGGTCGCACGACTTTAACGTCACCACCATTAAAGGGTTAGTTCACCCAAAAATGAAAATTCTGTCATTAATCACTGTTCCAAACCTGTGGTAGTTACCTTGCTGTCTATGGGAGGGTCAGAGAGCCCTCATATTTCATCAAAAATATCTTAAATTGTGTTCCGAAGATGAACGAAGGTCTTACGGGTTTCGAAACAACACGAGGGTGAGTAGTTAATGACAGAATTTTTGACATTTTTGGGTGAACTAACCCTTCAAGCTTCTGACAACTCTGTCAGACTAAATGGTTTTCAGGTTAAAAAAAAAAAGATTTGGCAGGAGATTGAGTAAAAACACAGGTCCCCCAACAACCTCTGTAGTCAGGACAAGTTAAAGATAAAAAAAATAAAAAATAAATTAAAGAATGACACAGTTTTAACGGTAAACCTCTACTGCACTTTGTTTGCCTATAAAAAAATAAAAGCAATTGTTACATTTTCTAGGGATGCACTGAAATGAAAATTCTTGGCCGAAACCGAACAAAATTAAATACTGGGCCGAATACCGAACAAGGTTTTTGTTCCCCATGTATTTTGCCAATTTTTTTCACCATTGCACAGATTAAATAGCCAAAATGTGCTTTTTACTGTTTTGTCTTGCTTTTCAAAGAAAAAATAAATTACAAAACAACAATTTAAAAGTATTTAACACTGAACATTTTTTAACATTCTAGCAAACATTATACCAACAAAGCACAATTTAACTTAAAATTAATAATATTTTTTTGGCCATCAGACCCCCTTCTTGAATCAGGCATGTATTTTTTACTATACAAATAAAAGCTGCCTTGCTGAGCAGAAGAGCCTTCTTTTAAAACATTAGAAAATATTACAGATCCCAATTTGAACACTATGTGTGAATGTTACCGATGTCCTTACTACGTCTCTGGGTCTGGAAACCAGGCCCGGATTGGCTAATCGGGAGCACCGGGAGGATTCCCGGTGGGCCGGTCTGTATTTTTGGCCTCAAGGGCCGGTGTTGTCATGCCACTGGGTTGAAATATGGATGCTGTCCCTAGACTGCCTGCACTCATAGCAGCCCCACTCTTTTATTTAATATTTTCTCACAGCCCATATTATTGTTTTCACTAGACCATATCAATAACAAATTCTCAATTGATAATTAATCATTCTTTTTGCGCAAATCATTGTTTTATTTGTGAAGAAGCCGTGCAAGGAAGGCTTTAAGACCAAGCGGAATCCTCTGCCGGCTGCTCCCGCTTCACAACGAGCGGGACTCGCGCTAACCGCAATTCCCTTCACCGTCCGAGTTTTGATTTTGCCAAATAGGTTTGGGCCAATGCAAACAACTTATTGATCATGAGCCCAACAGCCGGTCTAAGGCATGAAACTCCAGGGTTGAAAATGAGTCCCACTCCGGCCCTGCTGGAAACATTTCAGTTCCGTTGCTGTCTATGAGTGGGTCAGAGAGCCCTCTGATTTAATCAAAAATATCTTAAATTGTGTTCCGAAGATGAACGAAGGTCTTACGGGTTTCGAAACAACACGAGGGTGAGTAGTTAATGACAGAATTTTTGACATTTTTGGGTGAACTAACCCTTCAAGCTTCTGACAACTCTGTCAGACTAAATGGTTTTCAGGTTAAAAAAAAAAAGATTTGGCAGGAGATTGAGTAAAAACACAGGTCCCCCAACAACCTCTGTAGTCAGGACAAGTTAAAGATAAAAAAAATAAAAAATAAATTAAAGAATGACACAGTTTTAACGGTAAACCTCTACTGCACTTTGTTTGCCTATAAAAAAATAAAAGCAATTGTTACATTTTCTAGGGATGCACTGAAATGAAAATTCTTGGCCGAAACCGAACAAAATTAAATACTGGGCCGAATACCGAACAAGGTTTTTGTTCCCCATGTATTTTGCCAATTTTTTTCACCATTGCACAGATTAAATAGCCAAAATGTGCTTTTTACTGTTTTGTCTTGCTTTTCAAAGAAAAAATAAATTACAAAACAACAATTTAAAAGTATTTAACACTGAACATTTTTTAACATTCTAGCAAACATTATACCAACAAAGCACAATTTAACTTAAAATTAATAAGTTACTAAAATAATATTATTTTTGACGATCAGACCCCCTTCTTGAATCAGGCTTGTATTTTTTTTTACTGTAAAATTAAAAGCAGCCTTGCTGAGCAGAAGAGACTTCTTTTAAAACAGAAAATATTACAGATCCCAGTCTGAACACTATATGTGAATGCTATAATAAATGTATTAATAGAGCTGTTGTAATTATTATTATCCTTTTTATTGTCTTTTTTATTTAATTTTACAGAACAACAGTAAAATTACAATACTAACATTTATGATTGTTTAGCAGATTTCCCTCACGGTTTGGACTTTGAAGCCTGGCTAACGAGCAGATAACACCGCGAGCTTGTGCAGCGCTGTCAGAATACATGCAATGCGTGCGTGTATTAGAAAACATGACGTTCTGCAGTTTATTTACTAATTGTTGAAGGCCATTTCGCAATTTCAATCATCATACAGTAACCAGCAACAATCACCCCTTCCTCTTCTCATCGAAGACATGCGATGCAGTACTAAACGGTCTCTCGCTGTCAGTGCTTGTAATGATTTTTGCGTCTTTCTCGGACAGTTTTAAAAATCTTCCACACTGCTGACGTGTTTGTTGCATTGCGCCTCTCACTCTACTATGCTGGTTGCTATTTGATCGCGTCACGTCATTGTTCGATACAGTTTATTCGGTCTTTTTCGCTTAATTTCGGTTACCGAACATTTGGTGCATCTCTAACATTTTCATTTGATTACATTCTGAAAAATGAATTAAATTGTTAAAGTTTTGTCTTTATTTGATTACCATCAATTTTAATAATAAATATGTATTCAATCATAAATCCAGAAAAAAATTAAGACAGAATTTAGGAACATTTCTGAAAAAATAAAACATTCCATCGGGCCCTATTATTTTTAAAAATCAGTTGATTAGACATGCTTTTTGATTCTTTGAATTTAATTAAACCATTAAAATGGAATCCAGAAAAATGTAAACAGTAAACATGGAATTTGAGAAAAATAAAGATGAATTTGTTGAAAATAAAAACTGATTTCATGTGACTCTAAAAATGTAGCTTTTGTTAAATTAAATATTTAAATATCATGATTTCAGTTTAGACATGCTTTTTATTTCTACATTTATTTCTACTTTATTTCTATTTATTTAGAATAAAAAAATACTTTAAGAATTAAAATGGAATAAATAAATAAAGCAAATTTCATAAGGCCCTAGGTATTTCTGATTTATTTTATGTCATAGAATAAAATGTAAAAAGCATCTTGAGCCTGTGTTAACCACAAACCTTATTTCAAGCATTTAACCAAAAAGCCATTTAAGAAAGCTTTGGCGTGATGGAACTGGAAGTGCAAAATGTTCAGGTTTTAGGATTTCTGCAGCATTCCTGCAGCACTCTATACAGGTTTAAATGAAAAACCAGTACAACATATTCAACAGTTGTTTTTTTTTTTTAAATACCATCCATTGATGGCAAGCCTGGTACAGTGCGGCTAGATTTAAACACACACATAAATTGAAAGCTGTGGCTTTGTTGGTTTCCTGAGATTTTGGTGTGTTACTCACAAAGCATTCCTATATAGATAGAGAAGACATAAATAAAGCTCACAAGCCATATTGATTACTTTTTATGATGTTGAGCCTGACAGTCGTAGTCACTGAACTGTAGTTGAATGGACGCGTGCTGCTTACATTTTTGTGTTCCATGGATACAGTAACAGCGCATAGGTTTGGGAGAGTAAATAATGACAGAATTTTGATTCTGTTCCTGTAAAGAGCTCACGATGCAGCGGTTCTCGTCTCTGCTCCTCCCTTCCTACAAGGCTCCCACGCTTCTGTCTTCGATTTTTCCATTTCTGTGTGCGGATTGTGAGGAATGGAGTTTGTTTGGATATTGAACGTTTGTTGGCGAGTGCGATCTGTCGTGTCTGTGGTTTCCTGAGGCAGCGCTGCTGTCATTGGCCACCAGACTGAGCTCTCATTGTGAGGCCGGACGGGAGACGGGTGACTGTAGTCGCTGTGGGAACTCTGTCCTTGGGAAACACCGGGAGCCTGTGTGAGCTCAGCAGACCTCCGGCTTTGCTGTGTTGCTACAGTGAGCTTTCTGGCCAATGGGAGCGAGGCAGGCCTGAGCGAGCTATAAATAGCCTCACGGGCTGCGGGCAGTGTTAGAGCTGATCTCACTTCTAAATGGACAAAGTGTAACGCTTTTGCCGTGACAGCTTGCTGATGATAAAAAAAAGCGATTGGGTTTTTCTGCAGTTTCTCACTAGCTGCAAACTTCAGAGATGGTGGAAGAGGTGTTTCCTGTGCAGTCAAAGATTAATTTGTCAAACACATTTTCATGATTTTGTCATTGTTGTCGGATGTTCTAGTCATGCAGGAGACTTCATCTATTATTATACTTTTTTTTCTTGATTAGATAGATAGATCTATAGGCCTATGCAAGATCTAGATCTCTAATATAAAATTTGATGTATTTATTTCCTTATATCTTTGTATTATATTTATTTGTAATATGTGTTAAATAGTTCTTTGAATTAAATCTAAGAAAAATATATGTTCATATTATACATTCTTGTTCTATATGTAAATTCAACGGCATATTCAATGGAGTTTACATTGTTCTGAAGTAATCTCTCAAATGTAATTATTTATTTTTTATTCATTTATTTGCTGATTATTTCTTTGAATTAACTTTTTATTAGCGAAGTAATATGAATATAATATATTTTATATATACATTTAAACACATGATTTTTTATTTGAAGTAACTTTTGATTAACAAAGTAATATTTATAATTAATGTTAATGTATTTTATATATATGTATATATGTGTATGTATATATACATATATATATATATACATAATTTAATACATTTTTACTTTTTTATTTTATTTAAATAAGTAAATAAATAAAAACAAATAATTATTATATTATAATTATATTTGTTTTATTTATATATATATATATATAT